TCTGAGAAGGAAGCCTCTCAGAAGGGAAGGAACGGACAGGCCCTTTGCTTTGTCACGCGCTGTTCTCTGCTCTCGGGAGAGGCACCGCTTGTGGTTTTGAAAGTCTGAGTTGCCTGTCCTGTGCGCCTGCCACCCCCGCTGGTGAGAGGGCAGGCGTTTCCTCCCGGTGAGGGTCCTGGAGCCACTCTGCCTGCGCACTGCCTGCTCCCTCCGGAGCACCTCCCTCCAGGCAGGCCTCTCCCTGCACGCAGCCTGCAGGCAGGACACAATGGAGAGCAGAGCATTCCCGAAGCCATTCTGCACGGGGCGCTGTGGCCAAGGAGAAAGCAGCCAGTCGCGCGAGTTTGGAGCAGACAGCAGCTGCCTGCAGGCCATGGGTTGCCTGCTCTGGGCAGTGATGCTAACCCTCCGGTTTCCCCCTCCTTCCCTGGCAGATCAGTCAGGAGGCCGCCCACCCAGAGGAGCCTCCCTGCGGCTCTGCGCACCTCCAGCCTCTCCCCTGAAGGGGCCCCGCGGGCCATGCTGTGCTGGGGGCGCTGTCCTGATGCACGCAGTTCAGCAGCCCCCTGACCTTTACTCACTAATGCCAGGAGCCGCCCAAAGCCCCCAGTGGTGACAACAAAACATACTTCCAGACATTGCCAAATGTGCCCTGGGGAGGATCACACCACACGCCCGCACACGCATGCACACACTCACGCACACACCCACACGCATGCACACATGCACACACGCACATGCATGCACACATTCTCGCGCACACACAGCGGAGGGAGCATGGGCCGGTGGGGCCTGCGCACCGGACGGGCTGCAGCCGGGGCTGGGGTACCCGCAGCAGCAGCAACCAGTGCGCGCCCCAGTGCCCGGGATCTCGTTTTTATCCCCAAACACGCCCACAACATGATTGTATCTTGCAGACCAGAAGCCAGGGCTCAGGCGTTCCTCAGGTCACCAGACCCCAAGACTCGCCCCCAGGGCCTCAGGCGCCTTGTGTTCCCGCAGCAACAGCCGGCAAGACCAGCCTGGGACCAAACACAGCAGGTGCAGCCCAGTCAGAGCTGCCCGGCCGGGAGGAGCTGGCTTTTTATGGCAGGTGCCAAAGACTCGTGTGTACTTTCTGGTGCAAACTTTCAGTAAACAAGGCCTGGAAGATCATGGAGTTTGAAATAATTTTTAAATTTTTACTACAACAGCCAACATCATAGCTAAAGGTAAAACCATAGAAGCACACCTACTCTCGTTCTTATTTATTAAACTAAAGTCTTGCCATCTCACCATCAGACAAGATAAAGAAAGGACCATGAAAACGGGGGGCGGGGAACAAGCTCATTGTTCTCAGTTATGATCATCTCTGCCGAAAATTAAATGAATCCACTAAAATTGTGACATTTTTCTGTGCTTTTTACATTTTCAAAATTTTATTCTCATATTTATAAGCAGAAAGTCTTTTAGAGCATAATGTGGCCGTAAACCCTGAGTCTGTCATCGCCTGCTCAGGCCTCCTAGACCCTCTCCCCGACCTCCCGCGCCTCACGCAGGTGCAGGGCACACTGAGCCGCTCGGCCCCTCCCGGGTCTGTGCCTCTCCCTCACACTGCCGCTCCCTTCAGCGGGACCTGCACCATCTTCCTCCGACTCAGCTTGCCCAGGAGCCACACATTCTGGAAAGTTCCCCATGAATTCTTGTGCCCTTGTACTCTTGCTAGGTTGCCTTAACATTGTGTCTAAGAAAATCTATGAAACTTAGATTGAAGTTGGTATCTCACTGAAGGAGGGGGGTGGATTTTATTTTATGCTGAAATAACTTCTATTTTTAACATTAAATATTTTCAAGAGCTGCATCTTCCTTGTGTTTTAAACTTGTAGGGAAAGACACATCACTTTTCCTCTGCCCTTCTAGGTTCCGTAGCTGAGTTCCCTCTCTCTCCGTGTAATGGAAGACAGGCTAACGAGAGAAAAGCAAGTTTAATGACACGAGTGTGTCATGTGTACCTGGGAGAGGGCCAGGAAAATGGAGTAAAACTCTCCAAAATGGCCCAAGCACCACCAGATCCCAGCTGCAGCTACAAAGCGAAAGGAAGATGTTGGAGGGGGCCTGCTGCTGGAGGGTCCGAGAGAAAGCAGAGCACACAGGTGAGGGTGTGAGGCAGATGGCGCTGGCGCCTTCTTCACTGAGAGTGTCTTGCGCTTTAGCATCTTCCTTTTCTTCCTGACATGGAGGGAGGCCTCAGAGAGGAGCCTTCTCCGTAAACGTAAACACCCCTGCAGGGGGCTTCCCCTGCAGCAGAGCTCTCCTGCGTCAGGGAGACGCATTCAGGGTGATCCATTCTGGCCCCCTTTAACCCCAGGCTCAGAACCAGCGTGTTGGTCTCAACTCAAAATACCTTTAAAACACAGCTTGGTTCTGTCACTGAGGATGTTTATGGTTCTGTTCTCCAGTCAGTTTTCAATTGTCTGAAAACCGGCATGAAAACGTAAAACATGCTTAAAGTCTTTCTAATTAGGCCCCCTGCGGAGTCTGTGAAGCAGCAGGGATTCCCACAGTGGCCTTCACGGGATTTTTTTGTTTGTTTCATTGTTCAAAACACTTTGTGGCCCGTGCTGTTCTACCATCTGCAGCATCGATGACCCACATCTCTGTCTGACCTCATCGGTTTCCTTTTGCCCGCCCCAGTGAGGACCTTCTGGTCCTTCCCCTCAGACACTGTTCTCTTGTCCGTTTTGTTTCTTGTTTCCCCTATTTAATGAAGGTATCTCAGCCAAAGGGGTAAAAAATAAAAATAAAAGATCAAGTCTCTTGTTGAGGAACAACTAGGAGTAAACAAACTTGCCTTTTGACATGTGAAGTCACACCTGGTAATGGCGGTAAGACAGTAAGCAAATCAGGGCTTTCCGGCCAGAAGAAACAAGTGCATATTCTCAGCAGAATTGTTGATGTTTCTACAAGCCCATGTGCGTTCCCGGCCGGGGGTGTTCCCCGTGTAGCCCATCCGACTCTCAGAAAAACCAGTTGGTAATGGTTGGCCTGCTTCCTGCGGCTGCATTGGGGACTTGTGGGGAGGAAGGGGGAGGGAAGCACTCCATTCTGGTTCAACTTTAATTTTATTTTACCTGCTATCAAAAGCACTTATTTGGCTAGGTTACACCAAATAGATACACAAAAAGCTGCTTCTCAGCCATTTTCTAGTTTAAACCAAAACACACTCATTACAGGAGCCCCAAACCCAATTTAGCTCTTTTATCTCTTTTCCAAGGGGAGAAACCCTTAACATTACCCTGAAGAAAAGTGCCCGTAGCTTATGGTGACCATCAATAAGAAAGAAAATCTGAAGGGCAAGGTGAAATAGTGAGGAGGCTTCCATGTGCCAGAATTCTTTCAGTTGCAAAACAACAAAAAACCCAGAAACCCAACTGAAGTTGACAAGAGGAAGCTGAGCTCCTGAACTTGAGAATTCCAAGGAAAGCTCAGGTACGGCGGGAGCCGGGTCTCCAGCTCGGTCCTCGGGTCGCACGCTCTTCCCAGCTCGCTCTCTCCTCTGATCCTGCTATCTCCGCGGCTCCCCATTTTGGGCGGGATTCTTTCTTGATTCTGACAATGTCTGTGCCTGTGAGAGGGAAAGTTGCCTCTGGCCGATCGACACATACATTCCTTCAGCTTTGTCCTGCTTCCTCCTGATTACAAAGAATATACACTGTCCCCAGGTGGTTCCCAGCCAGCCTCCCACGGGCAGCCACGCTGCTGTCAGTCCTTCCTTGCTTTCCTGTTCCGAAGCCCCCACTTCATATCTGCACTCACCTCCGCTAACCATCAGGTCGCAACACAACCACCTGCACGCACCCTGCAATGTGTGAGTGACGCCGGGGGGCCTGTCCATGTGAAGGGGCTGTCTGGCCGAGTGCACACACTCACTGGTTTTCATTCCGTTTTGGAAACGCTGGAGCAGTAGACCGTTGGTGACGGCCGGGAAGAACACGGTGCTCTGAGCCCTGCCCAGGTGACCAGGTAGCCAACTGCCCGTGCAGAAGCCAGATCTAATGAAGACACAGGATCAAGTGACAGGTGTCAAGGATGCTCAAGTCAGAACAAGCTTTTGGGGGACATAGAACCAAAGGTGTTTCCTGCTCAGCGACCTACTGGTCTCAAAAGCTTGAGCCGGGCCCTGACTGGTTTGGCTCAGTGGATAGAGCGTCAGCCTGTGGACTGAGGGGTCCCAGGTTCGATTCTGGCCAAGGGCATGTACCTCAGTTGCAGGCACATCCCTGGTGGGGGCTGTGCAGGAGGCAGCTGATTGATGTTTCTCTCTCATTGATGTTTCTAACTCTCTGTCCCTCTCCCTTCCTCTCTGTGAAAAATCAATAAAATATATTTTAAAAAAATAGAACAAATCTAAAAAAAAAAAAAAGCTTGAGCCGGGAAGACGTGCAACAGTCAAAAGGTGCCCCATCAGAGCGGGGCGTGGGAAGGATTCTGATAACCACACAACTAAGATGACCCTTTGTTTTGTCTCATCAGCATAGTATACAAATGTAAGGGCACAGAGTCGGACCAATTTCAAGTTTTTTTTATTATGGTAAAATATACATGGAAATTCACCGTTTTTAAGGGCACAGTTCTGTGCTACCATCCCCCCTCCATCTCCAGAACTGTCACTGTCCCCAGGGAAACTCTGTGCCCAGCCAAATGCTTGGATAATAAAGTGCTTCGTGCATGTAGAACAGTGCAGAGGGCGATGCAAGGACACACATGGCCTGCCACGCAGCTTCCCCAAACACAGATCTCCTCCTCTTCTCTTTTTCCTTTTTTAAGAAGCGAGACACCGAAAGTGACCACCTAGCAGATTATTGTTAAGGGAGCTTCTACCGGGCGGGAGAGGGGCTCGGCACTGGGGATCCAACTCGTTTCGCCCGCACTGAGCCCCACTAGCGGCGCCGCCTAAAGCTGCAGAGGAGCTGGGGGCAGTGAGGTTTCCTTTCGCACTTTGCCTTCCCAGGTGGAAATCTCTAGAAAACACTTCGTGGGCCACTCGTCTGTGCTGTGTCCGCAGGGGAACGTGTGTTGTTTCTGAGACAGGAAGGAAGACTGTAGGGTCGGCGTGCCCGGAGCTGCCATGCTCTCTGCCCTGCGTTATTCGACGCAGATTTTTATTGTTTCCTGTGAAATCAAGTTTTTAGAAGCTTTTGAGCTAGCAGGGGAAAGGCTAGGCCGCCCCCTGCAGGACATTTCCAGGCATTGCAGGTGCTGCTGCGTGGCCTTCCCCCTCCCTGGGTTTCAGGGTTTGCAGGGGTAAGGTCTCCTCTGTCATGAGGTTGGACAGTGGGTGCCCCCCGGGAGGGCTGACAGGGCTGGGGCCTGGCGGGCAGGGCTCCGGAGAGCAGTTGGCAGTTGGTGGGCTCTGGGGGCCCTGGGGCTCCCCGGGAGGCCAAGGCAGTCCTGAGGACAAGCCATTGTCTCCAGGCCACTGTGCCATGGGGAAAGCAGAACAGACCCGTTCCCAGGCCACCACCCCTCCCAATGGCCCCCACACCGGCTCTTCTGTTCATTTAGGCTAATGTCGCGGGTGGCGATTTCCCTGCGCCCTGAGGGAAGCGGGCAATGCTGTCTTCCACCCGCTCCACCAACGACTTCCATAACAACATGCCTGGCAGAGCCTTGGACTTAATTTAACCAGCCACTTGGCAAAAAGCACAGCTCTGTTCTGAGATGCCAGGTGGCTCTGACCGCGGCTCTGTGCCCTGCTCAGGCCTGATGGCCCTGGGGAGCCAGACCACCGGCCAGGGGACCTGGGTCAGACACAGCCCTCCCTCAGCAAGGCCACGCTCAGGGCAGCCGCACCTTCCATGGCCATGGCTGCGTGACACACAGAGCGAGGACACAGACACGGGTGGAAATGACCTGCAGACAGGTGACTCCAATCCGGTCATGTTCTCGTCCCTTTTCCCTGGCCGCTCTCTGCCCGTGTCTCCTCTCCCCTGTCTGTTGCCCTCCGTCTGTCCCTGAGCTTGTGTGGTGGGAGATGACCAGCAAACCCCACAGAAGCCAGCCTGGGGCGAGTGTCAACAGTGATACCTCGTGGCTTCCGGGCGGCCACGCCCAGGACGATCACTTAGGGTTTGGGAGGTGAAGGCTGGAGCAGGTGTTTGTGTGGGGGGTGGGGGGGGGGAGGGGGGACTTCCAGGAACCCAGGCAAAGCTCACCTGTTGGATCCTGTCACCAGACACACCTTCGGGAGGGGCAGACCCCGCCGCCGGCGGGCCGCAGCCCAGCGCTGGGCTGCCCTCTCGGAGCTGCAGGGGGCCAAGTCCCGAAGGGAGACCAGGCCCTGCAGCAACCCGCCGCCATCCGGGCGCCTGCAGCCTCAGGTTACGGATGGAAATAAAACCAGGCGCGTCTCCTCACGTAGCTGCGCAGTCATCGTGCAGATTCACAGATTACACTTGGGCAGATGGAGGCGGAAGACGCATTCTGTGCGTCAGTGGGCCCAGCAGCAGGACCTGGTGGTGGAGAGGCGGTAGGAGCAGCGGGGGAGGCGGCCGCGAGGGCTAGCAGAGGGCGCAGCAGCGCCGCGGGGCCAGCAGAGGGCGCAGCAGCGCCGCGGGGCCCCAGCTTTTGCTAAGCTGAGGACTGGGGACCAGTTTCTCCTCCGGGTCTCCTGAGAGGAGACGCTTTTCTCCTCCCCTGGGTCTCCACCCGCGGGCTGCCCTCTTCCCGGTGGTGTCCTCCTTTGACACAGGCGGCCATTAGGTCCACTTGCACTGCTGCCCGGGGCTCACTTGGAATAGCGGGGGAACTGGCCCCAAGTTCCAGGAGAGTCAGCTCCTGCACAGCCCGTTGGCGGGAGGAACTGAGCATCCACAGAGCGAGTGGCCAGCAGGCTCGGAGCGGGAGCGCGAGTTCACGTCGCTTTAGGAACACATACATTGTCATGACGCAAGGTGGGCCGGGACCCACACGGGAGTTGGAGAAGTCTAGAATAAAGTAGGAAAAACAACGCAGGACGCATTTTCATCCTGTGTGCATACGTGTCCTGAGTTGCGATGTAAAATGCATTTAATCCTGTTGCTTTAGTTGAAAAAAACACGCAAGCCGTTGGCAGAGGATGCCAGCACTTGAGCTGAAACCCTCGCCTGCAACCTGGCCTCTGCCGACACCCGCCTTAGGGTGAGTTTTTTTTCCTGAAAGATGCTGAATGGAGCGGAGGTAAAAAGGGGGGAGGGGGGAGAATGCTGCTGATCACAAGAAAGGGAGGGAAGTAGGGACAGATGAGGCTCAGGTCTGGGAGGCGTCACCCCCTAATGTAAACCTCCTTCTCCAGGGGCCTCCAGGTAGGTTGAGGCACCACGTCGGTAAATCAAATCACACAGTAGATGCCAGGGACTCGGATTCCCAAAGGACACGTCCACTGAGTGAGCAGAACACGAGTCCTTGTCCATCGCCCTCACATCGCGTGCCACTGTAACCACAGGCAGCTTTGCCGCGTTTCCGCTGCCCCCCCCCCGTCCGCCCCGCAGGGTAGTGGAACTAAGTGTGGTTATTAGAACAGCGACACCTGCTGCTTGGTTGTACCAGAAACAGGTTTTATTTTCTCGGTTGACCAAAAAAGGGTCATTTTTGCATGAGCGCCAAACAGCTGTACCTGTGGTACACACTGCAGAGTGAAAGCCTGTGGGCCGCCGACATCCATTCCCCGGGGCACAGAGGGGAGCGCGTGCACCCCACGTCACTGGCTTCCAGAGGCCGCCTCCTCCCTGGCTGAGCCCAAGGGCGCCGCCCTCGCACCTGCGCCCTGCAGCTCAGCCCGTGGCGGCAGGAGAGAGACCCAGGAAAGTGCTCCGGCACCGCTTCCCAGCGTGTTTCCCAGTGTGGGGAGCGCTGCCCGGGACCCCCTTCTCACGGGTGTGCTCCCCTGACCCCCTCCTCCGCGGGTGTGCTCCCCTGACCCCCTCCTCCGAGGGTGTGCTCCCCCGACCCCCTCCTCCGCGGGTGTGCTCCCCCGACTCCCCGGGACCCTCCTCCGTGGGTGTGCTCCCCTGACCCCCTCCTCCGCGGGTGTGCTCCCCCGACTCCCCGGGACCCTCCTCCGCGGGTGTGCTCCCCCGACCCCCTCTTCCG